GATTCATCTTTCCGCTTCATAGTCTGCAATGGCGAACAGTCCATCTCCACAAACACCACCAGGTCCTCAAAACTCTGGTCCCATACCATTTGGCACTTTCAACGCAGAGTCAAGTGGTGCTGGAGCTCAGATCTACAACAATACTGGTGCGGATGCTCGTCAACAGCAGAATGGTAACAATACTCATCTGGGTCTGATGTTTGGAAGTCCTTATTACATTAATCCTAGTGAAAATCTAGGCCAATCCATCGTTGCTGAAACCCTAGATGGATCTAACTATCAGACCTGGCAGCGAGCTGTAAGAATGGCTCTTAAGACCAAGCATAAGCTGGGTTTCATTGATGGCACACTTCCAATGCCTGATCATACCCATCCTGATTTCGTTTTATGGGATGCTTCAAATACTATGGTTCTCTGTTGGATTCTGAATTCAGTACATAAAGACATTAGCAGGAGTGTTTTGCAGCATGAAAATGCAAAGGTTGTGTGGGACGAATTGAAGGCTCGTTTTGGCAGGTCTAATGCCATCAAGCTATCTAACTTGCAGGATGAAATGGCTGCCTGTAAGCAAGGTAACATGAGTGTGACTCAGTACTATATCACACTTAAGGGTTTATGGGAAGAAATTCAGCAGTATAGCCCTGTGGTTGAGTGTGATTGTCTGGCAGTAAGGGTTAGACCTTGTGCAGCAGTAGTTGCTTATAAGCAAAAGCTTGAAACTGATTATCTGATTAAGTTTTTGAAGGGATTGAAATCAGACTATGATGTGATTCAATCTCAAATACTCATGCTGAAACCGTTGCCTGCTGTGGAAGTTGCATTGGATGATATTTTACAGCATGAGCAGAAGTTACAAGGTGATAAAGGGAGAAGCACCAGGGGTATTCAGTCAGTGGCACTTGCTGCACAGGGACAGTCTGATCATAACAAGAATTTGAACCCTAACAAGGAGACTAAGTATGAGAATGCTAGGGAAGGGAAGTTCTGTCGATATTGCAAAATGAATGGTCATCTAAAGGAGGAATGCTACAGGTTGAAGAACAAGAAAGCACGAATGGGTGAAGGAGGTGGATTTGCTGGTTCTGTTTCCCAATCAGATTCACATAGTGGTGACTCCATTTCCTCAGGACAAAGTGCTGGTTATGAGAGTAAATCTTCTTCAACTGGATCTCTCAGATTTACTAATGAAGAACTGAACAAGTTAAGACAACTTCTGCAACAGCCTGAAAGCATGAGTCCATCTCCACCATTATCCCCTTCTATCAAGCATGCCTCATTCTCAGTCTCACAACACTTGCCATCTCAACCCAACTATGCTGGTAAATATGTTCTCTCTTCTTATGCTCAACATGGTTTGATGGCTCTGACTCAAGTCTGGATTTTAGATAGTGGTGCTTCAGACCACATAGCTTGCACTCTTGCTGTGTTCAAACAAGCTAGATTAGTTTCAAATCAGTTTGTTTATCTACCTAATGGCTCTAAAGTGGCAGTGAGTCATATAGGTTCAGTCCAAATACCAAATGGGTTGATTTTACAAGATGTTCTACTAGTTCCCAGTTTCACTTTTAACCTAGTCTCCATTAGCAAACTTACCCATGACCTTCCCATTTCCTTGTTATTTGAATCTGACTCTTGTCATATTCAGGACCAAACAACCAAGAACCTGATTGGTTCAGCAAAACAAGATAGGGGACTCTACCACCTCACTCTTCCTTCAAGATCCACATCTGACATCTCATCCCACCAAGTAGCAACCACCTACAACTTCCTTCCTCATCAAATAGACCTTTGGCATTGGAGACTGGGGCATCCAAGTAGAGATAGAGAGAATCAAGCTACTGGATGTAATAGAACTTCTTTTAAACATTGTCCAACCTGTCATTTGGCAAAACAAAAGAAACTGCCCTTTCCTCTTAGTGACAGTAGAGCAATTTCTGCTTTTGATATGGTTCATGTAGACATTTGGGGACCTCTTGCTGTTAAGTCACATGATGGCTTTTCTTATTTCCTTTCAATTGTGGATGATCATACACGCAGTGTTTGGGTATTCTTAATGAAACAGAAGTCAGAAGCTTCTCATCTTCTGGAATCTTTTTGTATTATGATTCAGAACCAGTTTAGCAGAACTGTTAAGGTTATAAGGAGTGACCAGGGGGGTGAGTTTCACATGATTGATTTCTACAATGCTTTTGGGATTGAACACCAGCTTTCTTGTGTGGAAACTCCTGAGCAGAATGCCAGAGTTGAGAGGAAGCATCAGCATATTCTCAATGTTGCCAGGGCTTTACGTTTTCAATCAGGATTGCCACTTCATTTTTGGAGTGATTGCATCCTGCATGCAGTCTACTTAATTAATAGATTGCCTTCACCAGTAACTGATGGTGTCTCACCCTTTGAGTTACTGTATCATAAACAACCAGCCTTAGATCTATTGAAGGTTTTTGGTTGCTTATGTTATGCATCTACCTTGTTGAGAGACAGAACCAAATTCAGTCCTAGAGCTAGGCAATGTGTCTTTCTTGGCTTCCTTCCTGGGATCAAAGGGTACAAACTCTTTGATCTTAACACACATCAAACCTTTGTTTCCAGACATGTGGTCTTTTATGAGACCATTATTCCTTTCCTACATCCTTCTTCTTCCATTACTGTTCCTACCTCTCCATCACCACAGCCTACCTATTCTAGCAATACACCAATTTTTCCCAACAATCCTATTCCTCCTGATCCATTTCTCTCCTCTTCCATACCTTCTCAGACTTCACCTCCTTCTTCCTCTACTCCTTCTTCCTCAACTCCTTCTTCCTCACCTTCTTTTCCTTCTGCCACAGACACATTGCCTGCTTCTTCTGTTGGTGAAGCAGTAGAGTCTTCAGGAGTGAACTCTGAAGGGGAGGATGAGTTGGTTGCACAACTTGAATTTGAGGATGGAGAAGGTGGTCCTGAGCTAAGGAAATCTGACAGAATCAGAACAGTACCAGTTTGGCATAAAGACTACAAGGTTGGAGCAGTTAGCAAATACTCCATGGATAAGTATGTCACTTTTGACAAACTCCCACCTGCACATAAAACTTATGTGATGAGTGCCATGGCTGTTACTGAACCAAAAACTTATGAAGAAGCCTGTAAAGAACTGTGTTGGAGGGAGGCCATGAAGGATGAATCTGATGCTCTTGAAGCAAACCAGACTTGGGAACCAGCTTATTTGCCAACTGGTAAGAGGGCAATTGGTTGTAAATGGGTGTATAAAGTGAAACTTAGAGCTGATGGTACCATAGAGAGGTTCAAGGCCAGATTAGTGGCCAAGGGGTTTACTCAAATTTATGGGATAGATTTCTTGGATACTTTTTCACCAGTAGCCAAGATTAACTCAGTTAAAGTTTTGTTAGCTGTGGCTGCTGCTAATGACTGGCTTATACATCAGATGGATGTATCAAATGCTTTCCTTCATGGAGAGTTAAATGAAGAAGTCTACATGAAGCCACCACCAGGGATGAACTTACCTGACAAGAGGATGGTACTGAAGTTAAAGAAGTCCCTTTATGGGTTAAAACAGGCCAGCAGGCAGTGGTTTGCCAAATTAGCTAGTTCATTATTGAAAAATGGCTTTGCTCAAACTGCTTCAGACTATTCAATGTTTGTTAAGAGAATTCAGGGAAGAATGTTGGTTGTTCTGGTGTATGTAGATGATATACTGATTGCAGGTGCCTCCTTGGGAGATATAGAACAATTGAAATTGTTCTTGGGAAGAGAATTTAAGGTGAAGGATCTTGGAGATCTAAAGTTTTTTCTTGGCCTGGAAGTTTATAGGGATGTAAATGGGATTCATGTGAACCAAAGGAAATACTGTATGGAATTGCTGGAAGACACTGGTTATCTGGAAGCAAAGGATTGCTTGGCACCAATTGATTACAAGTTGAAGCTATCTGCTAAACAAGGGGAGCCTCTTCCTAATCCTGAAGTTTACAAAAGGTTAGTAGGTAGATTACACTATCTTACTATCACTAGACCAGATTTAACATTTGCTATTCAGCAATTATGCCAATACCAGAAGGATCCATATAGTGAGCACTTGCAGGCTGCCTATAGGATTTTAAGGTATTTGAAACATGCTCCAGGACAAGGATTGCTTTTTAAATCTGATTGTGAATTGAAGTTAAGAGGTTTTTCAGATTCTGATTGGGCAAGTTGCCCTGACACAAGGAGGTCAATCACAGGGTATTGCACCTTACTTGGGGACAGTCTGATAACCTGGAAGTCTAAGAAACAGAGTACAGTTTCTAGATCATCTTCTGAGGCTGAGTACAGAGCCTTAGCACACCTGGTTTGTGAGTTGCAATGGTTGAAAGGATTGCTTGAAGAAATGGGTGTCAAAATTCCTCTACCTGTTCAGGTTTATTGTGACAACAGATCAGCTATTCATATAGCTGAAAATCCTGTGTTTCATGAGAGAACGAAACACATAGAGATTGATTGTCACATTACAAGAGAAAGGTTGAAGTCTGGATTAATCAAACTTGAGCATGTCAGAACAGAAGATCAGTTGGCAGATCTGTTTACCAAAGGCATGACAAGATACAGGCTGAAGTTTCTACTTAGCAAGTTGGGAGTTTTGGATATACACTCGCCAACTTGTGGGGGAGTATTAGAGCAGATTGGTGAACCCTGCTGTGCAGAGCTGGAGAACCAAGGCAAGGGGAAGACGAAGGTTGAAGAAGAATGATACGCAGCCGTTTGTTCAATCCGATGCCGTTTTCATTATCTCCGTTACTAGCTAGCCGTTAAGTGTTGAACGGTCGTTTGATGCCACGTGTTAGGCACAGTAACATTTAAATTACAGTTTTAAAACTTCCTTTCCATTTTCACTGTAGTTGAATTCTGTTGGTATAAAAAGGAGCAGAGAAGCATACAGCTTTCTCTGAGATTTTCCCCTCCAATTATTCAGCTGCTTAACCTAGCTGCTACATCTCTTTCTCTTCTTCTTCTTCTATTTCTTACAACATTCATACCTCAGTGATGTGATAGTCCAACCTCAGAGACCTAACATTGTGCAGACCTCGAAACAGGTCGACCAAATTTGCAGCCACCGTCGTTCTCGTCTCCTCACCAGAATGTGGGGCAAACCTGCTGCCTACGTACGCCCGATCGAGGGAAGGAAGGCTCACCTGGGAGAATTTCGGGACATTCGAAAGCAACACCAAGCTGAAGGATTCGAGATTCGGCGCATCTATTTCCACTGTAACACCTGCCAAGTTCAATGTACCACTGATCTCCAAATTAACCAGCTGAGGTCCCGATACCCTGAACCACGTCCTCCTTCCAGAGCGAACCAGATCGCAACCAGAAAGTACCAAATTCTTGAGGCAGGGGAATTTGTCGTCGAAAAAGTCGAAACCCTCGTCGTGCCACTCCCAATCGAACGAACACCCTTCCAGAACCAGATTCTCCAGAATCCTGAACCCCCTCCAATCGTTCCCGCTCCGGAAACGAACCAGCCCCAGCTCCAGAGTACCCAGATCGGAGTCGAGAAACGCCGCGACCAGGCTCGAGAACCGCAGCATCTCCTCCTCCTCCTCTGACCCACCGCCGTGGACGCAGATGTGCCGAATGTGACGACGGGAGTCTACATACTGCATAACCAGGTCGAGCTGTCGCAAGTGGTCCAGCCGCCAGAGCTCTCTGTCTTTGTAGGTGAGCTTCGCGACGCGGGGGGAATCGGTACCGTCGCCGAAGGTGTCGAGAGCTTGTTTCAGGAAGGTCGTGAAATCGGGGTAAGTCGGGAAGGAATCGGCGTCGAATTGGAGGTGTGTGACGTGTTTCCAGAGGGATCTCCACTTGGTGGAGAGAACAGAGGTCTGGACGCAGTGTTTGGTGTCGAGGAAGTAGAGGATGTGGTCGCGAACGTTGTCTGGGAGGTAGCTTAGTCTGTCTTCTTCATCATCGGAGTACTCCATCTGTGATTTTAGAGTGCTGTTCGTGATCAGAAATAAACTCTGCAATTTGGGGAAAGGGAACTCTGCCACAAAGGGAAGTTGCAGTTGCAGAGAGCTTTTATTTTCATTTCAAATTTCGGCTGTTACGTGATTAATTAGTGGGGGGGGATTAGTGCGGGGAGTGGGGGTTAGTTAGCGGTAACCAAAAATGATTAAGGACTGTGAATTAGTAGTTGGGGATCTCACGTTTACACGACCCTAGTTTTTAGTGATTTTAACGGGATGAATTATGAATTGTTACCCCATTTCTGTACAGAAACTTCCAAATTGGTCCTCAAATTTGTTCTTCAGCTCAAATATTGCTCTTCTTCCACTTTCAATCCTAAATAAACAGGATTACCCATGTGTAGGGCTGAAATTGGGGTAGACTCGTCCCTTACCCTGTAAGAACTTTGCTTGACCCGCCTCGATCGGCAGAATCAATTTATAAAATTGACTCGTCCCTCTCAAGCTTTCTCAAACTTCAATCACTTAGATAAACTGAAGGAATCTCGTTGGGTTGTTACTCGAAAAACCCTCAATGAAGTAATTGATAAGATGAGGTGGTGCAGGGATCCACATTGTGAGGAAGTTTCAATCACTTCAATCGAGAGGAAGAAGGTTGGTGCTTTAACTCGTTAGAATTCTTACTTGTTTCATACATTCCAGAAACATGAATAATCGAGGATCAAAGATATGACTGTCACTAGCTAATACGTTTCAAGAGACAACGCAATCCAAGTTTTTATTTTATTTTATATAATGGTGTTTTTATTAAAGAAATCAAACAGAACAAAGTACAAACAAACACGAACAAAGGCTCAGGAGGACTCAGATTACAAAAAAAATATTCAAGTTTGGTCACTCGAAATATTTAAATTCGTTAGTGGTACTTTATTTTACTGAAATCGTTCACGTTTGGTCACTCTCCGTCCAACTTCGTTAACTTTTGCTTACGTGGCGGTCAACTCTGAAAGTTGACCGTTAAATGTGTGAAGTGAAAATTTAAAAATGGCTAAATTACACGTTTGGTCACTCAAATTATACAAATTTTTCACGTTTGCCACCCGAATTACTTTTCTTTCTTATTCGCCATTAACTTTACGAATCGTTTCACGGTTGGTCACCGGCCGTTAAACTCCGTTAAGTTTGTCCTACGTGGCAGTCAACTATAAAGTTTGACCGTTAACTAGATGATGTGGAAATTAAAAAAAAAAATTTCTTTCCACCTCATCATTGTACTTATTTTGTCTATATAATTTATCATATTAATAATTTAATAAAATTTAATAAATTATAAAAATGGGCAACAGCCTCCAAGTGGCTCCCGGAGCTCTCCCTCTCCTCCTCCTCCGTCGACGTTGACAACAGCCTCCCTGCCGCGGCCGGCTCGGAAGAGAGCATGACCAAACCAAGATGATGTTGATGACGACTTTAGTGTCCACGCGCAGCTGCAGATCCTCCTCCGTCAAGCGAGCGTCCCAGCCCCGCCGGACTCCGCCGCCTCCGGCGCTGCGTGCCGGGGAGAGCAGGGGATTCTCCATGAACTGGTCCATCAGGTTCAGCACCTGGCTTAAGCTCCTCGTCGGCGAGAACAGATCAAACACCTCTGCGATTTACAATTACATATCAAATTAAGCACGGATTTCGTGGCGGAATTGCGATAAGTAAGGGACGAATTGGGGGAAAAGTACAGCGAGGATCTAGAAGACGACTACCTGATAGGAAATCGTCGCGGCCGCGCGGGAACGGGCGGCGAGAGCGACGATCGACATCCATCTGCCGTTCGTCTCCGTCTTCGTCGTAATTGCGGACGGCGTTGGTGTTGAAGAGACGGGAGGCAGACGGAGCGGCGGCTCCCATCGGGCGAACCATGCGAAGAGAGCTGGGAAGCAGAGATGAGGAGACGAGCTTCTTCAGAGCAAGTGAGGACACCATTTCGATTGGAAAGCAGAAATCTAGAAACGTAGAGATCCCTAACGCCCAGCACCAGTTCTCAGCATATTTTTTGTCCCACCCAAGCTCCCGGACCCAAGCTGTACCGGCGGTCGTCATCAACATCATCTTGGTTTGGTCATGCTCTCTTCCGAGCCGGCCGCGGCGGCGGCAGGGAGGCTGTTGTCGACGTCGACGGAGGAGGAGGAGAGGGAGAGCTCCGGGAGCCACTTGGAGGCTGTTGCCCATTTTTATAATTTATTAAATTTTTAATATGATAAATTATATAGACAAAATAAGTGCAATGATGAGGTGGAAAGAAATTGTTTTTTATTTTTTTTAATTTCCACGTCATTTAGTTAACGGTCAAACTTTATAGTTGACTGCCACGTAGGACAAACTTAACGGAGTGTAACGGCCGGTGACCAACCGTGAAACGATTCGTAAAGTTAGTGGCGAATAAGAAAGAAAAGTAATTCGGGTGGCAAACGTGAAAGATTTGTATAATTTGAGTGACCAAACGTGTAATTTAGCCATTTAAAAATAATAAAATTAAAATTTCCAAAATTTTCAAAACGGCCATCTCACTAGAGAAAGGAGGAAAGAGGAGTATTAAAAAGACTAGTCAACGCTGATATGACATATGAGTTGTAATTATAAATTTTAATTTCTATTTATTTTCATAGCAAATGAATAAAATAAGAAAAATAAAACCATGCCTCCCGTCTTCGCCTTTAACCCTCTGCCGCCGCCACCGTCGGAGCTTAAATACTCCTCCTGTCCTTACCTCTGCCCTTTCCTGCACTCGCTCCGCAGCTTAACTGGTGTACATTGGCTTCTTCTTCTTCTCTTTGTTGCTCCCCGAATTTCTTTCAATTTCACAAGAGGGGTAGTTGACATTTACTTGGGTGGAGATAGAGGGCTTGAACGGTGACGAGGAAGGCCTTCAGGCGAGACAAAGCGTCAACGCATCTGGACTCATCAACAGCAGCAACTTCGCCACCATCATAGCGGCATCGGCTCCCACCCAGACCTCCGCCCTCCATCGCCGACGAAAGCATTGATTTAGGCTGGGGCGAAGCGTGGAGCGGCGAACTGTGACGGGGAAGGCCTCTTAGCCTCATGACCCTACCTCTCTTCTTCCACTTTCTCGACTCCAATAGGTGAGCATACTCGTATCAGCTCCAGGATCTGGAAACGAGATCCGACAAACCGCGAAGGGCTAGCGGCGCTCCACTGCCTCGATTTCGAATGGCGAAGGACGAATCGGCTCCCTTCACTGCCCCTAATCTCGGTTGCTTCCTCAACTCTCATCTTCCTCAACTCCGAATCGGCTCCCTTGTTCGAACAACGAAGGGAGAACAACGAATCGGGTCCAAAATCTGGTGAACGGGATCTGGTGAATGGCGAAGGTTGAATCGGCTCCATGCAACACCGGCCTCCGCTGATCTCCACCACTCCCTCTCTCGTTGCTTCCTCACCCGACGCTAATCTCCCCCAAATCCAGTTGTCGCTTTCCTAGTGCGCCGACTTTCCTTTCTCTAATGATATGGCAATTTTGAAAATTTTAATTTTATTATTTTTAAATTGTCACGTCACACATTTAACGGTCAACTTTTAGAGTTGACCACCACGTAGGCAAAAGTTAACGGAGTTGGACGGAGAGTGACCAAACTGAATAGTTTCGGTAAGCTGAAGTACTACCAATGGATTTAAATATTTCGAGTGACCAAACTGGAACGTTTTTTGTAATCTCAGTGACGAACCATACAATTAACCCCAAAATAATAAAGCGGATAAAACTCCCTCATGACCCCGAACTCTCAACACTACGTTCAACTCGCTTTGACTGGGTCGACCCATTTTTAACAAATTCACAATTTAAAACTGAGGAAAACGAGAAATCAAAAATATTAAAGCATACAAAACTCGCTTTCGATCTAAAACTGGTTAACAACGTGTTCAACTCGCTTTGAACAATTTTTTTAATAAATTAGCACTTGGTCCAACCTGCCAACTACAAAAGCAGATAAAGGTCGCTCACAATACAACACTTGTCAATACCTTAGATTCGGGTTGACGGGTTCAATTTTCTTCCCAACCAAAAGAAGAAGAAAAAAAGAGAAATTTATAAATACTAAAGTAGGTTTCAAGTCGCTTTGACCGGATCGAATTAAGTTGGATACCCTTGGATTTTGGGTTCAACTGTGATCATGCTCAACAAAAAGGAAAAAGTGAAAGAAAAAAAATACTAAAGCGGACAAAACTCGGTCCGATACAAAATTGGCCAACATTGAGTACATATGGTATGGATTTTCGGTAGCGACATTGAGAAACGGTGGGGGGGGGGGGGGGGGGGGAGGGACAACTTAGGATTCCGTTGACAGTGTTTTAAAAAGGTTGTGAATTGGTGAGCGATGTTGAGGATTGGGCAGAGCATATTTAGTATGGATCTTTGGTCGCGGCCATGGCCATGGAAAACGGTGGAAGACGACTACTAAGGATTCCACCGACAGTGATCTAGTTGGGTTGCGAAAAGGTGAAAACCTAGTAGGCAATAATTGTTATGTGAAACACAATGGACAATAGATGTAAACCTAGCGAACACCCATGTGTTTGCGTTCAAATTGTGATCATGCTCAACACAAAGAAAAAAGAAAAAGAAAAAAAAAATACTAAATATGATGAAACTCGGTCCCGATACAAAACTCTTGGTAGAGGCCTTGGGAAACAATAGTGGTGAACAACTTAAGATTCCACCGACAATATTTCGAGATGGGCTGCAAAATGATTGGCAAAAGCAATGATTGTGTTAAAGTTAAGATACTCATGTGTTTGGATTCACTTGTGATCATGATCAACAAAAAGGAAAAATAGAAAGAAAAAATACTAAACATGATGAAACTCGGTCCCGATACAAATTTCGTGGTAACAACGTTGATTTGTGTGGTGGGCAACAACTTAGGTTTCAGCCGACAGTATTTCGAGATGAGCTGCAAAATGATGGGCAAATGCGATGATTTGTGCAAAAAGCCATAGACAAAAAGCTAGCAAATAATAACTAAACGCAAAAGCGATAATTTGTGTAAAAACCATAGATGAAAACCTAACGAACAATAACTAAACACAAATGTTGTAGAAAAGAGTGGGGTAAAAAAAGAAGTTTGAACTTTCCCACTTGTACGTGGAGGAGTGTGAGAGTCACTAATAAATAGTAACCTACAACCTTGCCTTTTATATATTAATTAATATTAACACAACAGACTATTCACACTTCATACTTAATGTATTCACACAACATATATAAACATGAACTGTGAATTCATGTGTTGTCTAAAAAAATATGTCCAAAATTTATATCAATAATAATCTTATGGACTTTGCTCCGGTGACATGCATGTCACGGTGACATGCACTTTTCGGTCGACCTCATATAGGATCAGGTCGACCTAATTTGTTGTTTCAGTGTAAAAACAATTTCATGGTGCCTACTTTGGAGATTCATATCTTACAATTGGCTAGATGGAAATTGGAGATTAAAGGCTTGTTTTGAAGCTGAAGTGTCCCTCTACACATTAAAGTAATTGGGAGCTCAATAGAAAGTCCAGAAGACCATTTTTGAACCTGACCAAAAGGCTATGCCAAAACTGGGAAACTGCCTGAAAATGGCTATGTCTGGCAACGTGTTTGACAAGCCTACTTTGGAGCTCAATTTGAGAAGCATGGATGCGAGTCAAGTCCAGGGGCCTCTACCACGTTAAATTACGTATTCTTTTATACAAAGGCAATGCATTGGATGAAAGATTGAATATCTTTAAGGCTTCAAACAAAAGGGTCGAAGTTGCTACGAAGGCTGTTTTTCTGGCCGCTTGCTTGTGCTCGAAGTCTGCCAGAAAACCAGCCTTCGTTGCAACTTCGACCCTTTTGTTTGAAGCCTTACAGATATCCAATCTTTCATCCAATGCCTTAAAATTGTATAAAAACATACCTAATTTAACGTGGTAGAGGCTCATGGACTCGACTCGCATTCATGCTTCTCGAATTGAGCTCCAAAATAGGCTTCACAAACACGTTTCCAGACTTGGCCATTTCCAGGCAGTTTCCCAGTTTTGGCATAGCCTTTTGATGAGGTTCAAAAATGGTCTTCTGGACTTCCTATCAAGCTCTCAATCACTTCAATATGTAGAGGGACACTCCAGCTTCAAAACAAGTCATTAGTCTTCAATTTTCATCTAGTCAATTGTATGATATGAATATCCAAAGTAGGCACCATGAACTGTTTTTACACTGAAACAACAGATTAGGTCGACCTGATCCTATATGAGGTCGACCGAATCCTAAATGAGGTCGACCAGATCCTATATGAGGTCGACCGAATTCTAAATGAGGTCGACCTAATCCTAACTGAGGTCGACCGGAAAGTGCAAGTCACTGTGACATGCTTGTCACCGTAGGCACACCCTAATCTTATTAAATGATAAAAAGAGGAAATTTCCACAAAATTGTTTGAAAACAAAATCAATAAATAAAGATGTGCAAATAAAAAAAAGCACAAGCACGTCTTTACCAAGAGGAATTTTACAATGCTATATAGCATTGGTGCTATAAGTTTTTCCCTTTATGGTACAAATTGAAGTTGTACCTTTAACGTTATGGTACAACTTCATATTGTACCTATACTCTTTTGCCAAATTGTTTTATGGTACAACTTAAATGTGTACTTTCATTTGATGATACAAGTTTAAGTTATAAAGTTGTACCATAACATAAGAGCACAAATTCCTTTATGGTACAACCTGAACTTATACATTAACGTTATGGTACAACTTTAAGTTGTACATTAAAGCACCAATACTTTATAGCATAGTAGAAGTGCTCATTTACCAAACATCTAAACTGAAAAAGTTCTCTTAAATTGATGGGGGAAAATATCACTATTCCCATCCAGAAATAGGGGTGTTCAAATGGTTACCATGATTATAACCAAATCAAATAAGGTTAAATTCCATTAACCATAGAATACAATATCATAACCAAACCGTCCAAACTAATACAACAACCAAATTAACTAAACTAAAATTTAATCGGTTTGGTTAATTGGTTAACCAGATTAACCAATATAAAATCACATTATCATTGATGATGAAAATTTCTGGTTAATGCAACAATTCACAATTTATATAATGAATAAAACATAACAATCAACATGTAGTTATAGTTGACCCTTAACAAAAATACATGCAACTAAGACAATTATCTTACGATTAGTATAGAAGTATTCACCTAACAAAAATTTATGACAATGGTATGGGTTAATGAATTGTTGTGTTTGTGTAAATTGACTTAGTCTCTTAGCAATTATCATAGGCTGGAAATGACATTCCTTTCAAGTTTTCATCCATCATAATGTATGAAATTTATCTAAATTAGGCGTTCATATGTTGTGGTCTACACTTTACATATACAAATATACACTATATGAGCAATATTGAGCTTTATATTTTATATGAGTCTAAAAGATGAACACGTTAACTCTTGAGTGGTTATGCAAAGTATTAAGTATGTGTATATAATATATGTTAGATATATGACTAATTAATTAACTGGTTAATTTGGTTTGACTGGTTAGGAGTGTGAAACCACCAAACCAAACTACTTAAACTAAACAAGCTATTAATCAAACCAAACCAAATTATCCAAATAATACCGGTTAAAATGATTACCACGGTAACCAAACCGTTTGAACACCCCTATAGAATTTGAGATCGGTAGACTGACAGCAATTAAACCCCCAACCGCTGATTACCGAAAAAATATACCTATATCGCTAATCAAATTGCGCCCGCCGACGTCACGATCGAACAGATTTAGATGGGCGGTTTTGATTGGGTGAGCCACCTACTGTGTTCCATACCAAGATAAGCCACACAGCCTCTGTGGATGTCTGGTGATTTCCCTCTTCTCCAGCTCTGGACAAAACTCCATAACCCATGGAAGCTCTCGGTTTCACCGCATCATTTACCCCTTCCCTTCCCAATTCAATCAACAGTTCCCGCCTCTCCCATTTCAGATTCTGCTCTCAACCCATTTCTCCCCTTCATCCCATCCATGGAGACGCGTCGAAAAGGTCAAAACTTGTCTTCACTACCTTATCCTCAGCATCGTCGTCATCCACGGCTTCAACAACAACAGAGCCGATTCTGGACTCACCCGTGAATGAAACAGAGGGCGAAGGGGAGAAGTTCGATTGGTTTGCACAGTGGTACCCTGTAATGCCGGTTTGCGATCTGGACAAGAGAATCCCACATGGGAAAACGGTGATGGGTCTCAATGTGGTCGCTTGGTGGGATCGGAACCAGAATGATTGGAAGGTGTTCGACGATACTTGCCCCCACCGATTGGCTCCGCTCTCCGAAGGAAGGATCGATCAGTCTGGGAGGTTGCAATGCGTTTATCATGGGTGGTGTTTCGATGGCTCTGGCGATTGTAAACTCATCCCTCAGGCTCCGATCGAAGGTCCTCCGGTAATTTGATTCTCCGTGCCCACCATGTGTTTGTTTAAAATCCTCAACGAATTGTCAACGCCTTCTCGTCTACTATACTAGGTGCATCCAATAAGTTTTAGAATGATTAGCAAAATGAGTCTGTTTCTGTATTTAGCCCACCTTGTTTATGAAGTTCACAACCTTGTTCAGGTACACACAAACAAGAGAGCTTGTGTAGCAGCATATCCAAGCACAGTGCAACATGGTATCTTGTGGTTTTGGGCGAGTAGTGATCCCAAATACAGAGATATTCTATCAGTTAAAAAACCGCCTTACATTCCAGAGCTAGATGATCCTTCATACACTAAACCAATGGCATGTAGAGAGTTCCCTTTCGGGTATGTGAACGAACTGTCTACTCCTTTCTGACCTTGACAAGTTGATTAGAGACTCAAGAGTATTCTTTGAAGCTTCAGAACTGAATCCTGCTTTGTAGTTGCTGCTGACTTCTGAGTTGTCTTCAGCAGCTAGGTGTGTTCATTGCAGTTCTCGCTTGCTGTAGCTAAAATGTAGTTTCTTGGTTGCAGATACGAGATCTTGACCGAGAATCTGGTCGACCCTTCTCATGTTCCATATGCACACTATAATCTACTCCCGAATCCAACACCAAAAGATAGTTGAGAACTTCTTTACGATAAAATCTTGTTTCATGATCTTGTCTTCGATTTGTGTTCTTGTGAGAGCTACGACTGACACTATATGTTCTTTCTCTAGAAAGGGTTGATAGAGAAGGAGGCACCCCAGTAAATATGCGAATACGAAATTTTGATATTAATGGATTTGATACTGCTAGATTTGGAGGGGCTAGCCAGTTCATTGCACCATGTGTATACTATTCTTCTGTAAGTGTGTCAGCTCTACGAGAACTTGCTAAAAAAGAAGGCGATGGATCAGCATCTGCTCCTAGTAAAGTTAAGGTGGGACATAGTCAGAACGCTTTGGCTTTTTGTGCTTGACTCCTGGTACATCTTTGCATTGTTCATGTTCTTTCCCTTTCTGTGTTTTGAATTCTTCAGGATTCATCATCTCAAGCACCAGAGAAGAAAGTGCTCCTTGTTTTCTTTTGTATTCCAGTTGGTCCCGGCAAGAGCAGATTAATATTCACATTTCCAAGAAACTTTGCAGTTTGGGCAGATAAATTGGTTCCGAGATGGATTCTTCATGTGAGGCAAAATCTTGTTCTTGATTCTGACTTGTATCTTCTTCATCTCGAGGTAATACTAATACATCATCTCATCACCTCAGTTAAAAGACACCTCACATTATTTTAGATTTCCTGAAAACAAAATTCCATTGCCCCATTATCCTTCAGGAGAGGAAGATATTGGAAGCTGGCCTTTCCAACTGGAGTAAAGCTTGTTTCATGCCAACAACAGCCGATTCCCAGGTAATTGCTTTCAGGAGATGGCTCAGAAATTATTCAGGCGGGCATGTTAGTTGGGGAACCAAGTTCAGTGGCGTACTTCCTCCTACTCCTCCTAAAGAGCAGTTGATGGACAGGCAAGCATTTCAATATGCTAAATGACAATCTCGTTCTAGAAAATAATTCTTGTGAACTGTCGATTTTCAGCTTCAGTTTGCTAATTGTTTCAGGTACTGGTCCCATGTTGTTAACTGCACAAGCTGCAATGGTGCATATAAAGCTCTGCAAGCCGTCGAGATAGCGTTGCAGATCATTGCAGTTGGTTCCATTGCGATTGCTGCTGCTATGAAACAATCGGTAACTGTGAGAAGTGCACTTGCTGTGGCTGCAGTGCTCTGCTTTGCAGCTTCAAAATGGTTGGCTCACTTCATTTATAAGACCTTCCATTTTCATGACTACAAACATGCCCTTGTTTAGAAAGCAGTATTATTACTCTTGAAAATGGAACACCACAAATTGTAAGCGAATATACACAGTACTATATTGTGCACAACGTGCTAACCTGAAAGCAACATTGATTTATGTTGGTGATGTGTGTCAAGAGACATTGCCACATAAACGCTATGTAACTAATTTTGTTGGAAATCCTTAAAGAATGGTGGATAGATTCTGCCATGTTTATGTTGCTAGGGAGATTCTGTCTTACTATGCTTTGGCTAAATTGAATGAGAAGTTTATGGGGGAACTTATAACTGTCAAAGTCGAGGAAAGTAAGAAGATTGACTTGAAGATAATATTGCGCAAAGTCGCGAACCTGAACAACGTGCTCCCGGGCTGTTGGCCGGAATGTTCATATTTAAGTCTTTATAATTTTATTTTAAGTTTAAGTCTATAAACCCATTTAATTTGTTTGACTATTTTTCGATTGAGATGATACATAAAGAAATAATATATAGGTCGTACACTCGAAGAAATATCATCATCATTTAAGAATATAAAATATATCATTGATTTAATTTTCATAATGATAATATTATATTGGTTAGTTGATTGTCAAGAAAGATAGAATATAAAAGCTCACTAGAATTACCACACGACCCATATATAGTTTGAAACTGAATCTAAAACCTCACAATCCTACATAAAGGCTTCAATGCTCTCCTTTTAGTAACAACATGCCACTAATAAAAAAGAAATAGAGAGTTGTTGGTTCAAGTCAACTATATACTACAAACTAAGCTAAGAGGGAACCATCAAAACTTGAGAGCAAACGACAAAATTAGGGTTATCTCTAATATACTAATAGACTTGATCAAAATCATAAGACACAAAATTAGACACTCATTTTCTATCAGTTTCAACAGGTTGAATAAAGAATCGACCTAATTCAGTAAATCAATCAATGATCTCACATTTTAAGATAGAAATAGGTTGTGGTAGCTGCAAAAACCATAAACCTAAAGAGCCAATAGCCACCACTCTCCGTTGAACGACCAAATTGTTATCCACTCTATCTTTAATCTCAAGAGGCATATGTTTCAACCAAACAACTCCATTTCTGCTACTTTGAAGGGCCTTCTCTCCGTGGGCCTCAATTTTTCTTCCAATTGAGGTTCTTGTCAACTCGCTCTTCAACTCCTCAAACTTCTTCTTGTGTTTGCCAACTCATCTTCCTCGGGGCAGTTGTAATAAGTTCGCTAAAACCAACACTCATCTCCAATTCCATCAATATGTTCATCTCCCCACTCATCTCCAATATGTACATCTCTTTGAAGGCAGTAGCAGGAAGGAAGAAGAAGAGGGAGAAGGGGGAGAAGATGAGATCGGAGAAGATGAGGGAGAGAGGAGACTTTTCATTTTCATTTTGTTTTTTATATTTTAAAGTTAAATCCATGTGGTATTGTTACTTAGGAAATTGTTGCCACGTCAGTCTTTCCGGTAATACAGTCAACACGTTAATTAACACCGTCAAACAATTGAACGGAAATGGCTATTTTTGGTATTTCGCCAAACGTGGCTATATTTGACAAAACCGTCAAAATTTTGACTATACAAGTGTATTTTGCCTACTAATAATAAGAATGGTTCTTCAATGTACTTACTCGAGTCGAATGCATTGTACTATGCACATTTGAGATACGTCAATTACAAATCCTTATAGAAAATAATAAATATTGAGATATTGTCCAAATTTGAATGCAATAAATCAAAATGTCCGGTATATGTAGAACAACACTTTTCAAAATATCCCTACAATTCCCCTAAAATGACTTATAAACCTCTGAACTTGATTCACATTTACCTATGCGATATAAAGTGAACCCCATCTCACAGTAGGACAATGTAACTCATTAACATTTTTTTTTATGAACTATAAAACAACATTTTCTCTAAGCAACTTTTCCTTCCTCAAAATCTTCTTTCACTAAAAATATTTCCTTCCCCTCCTCATTTTCCTTCCTTCCCTTCAAAAACAAAGTACAAAAATTGTCACGAAACATAATCAGTATGTGCAAATGCTAACGGAATTTGACTGAAAAGCCGTTTGATTTTAAAATCTAAAAAAAACGCCCAATACACGTACGGGCCAGTCATGAAATTGCTAAGTGCTAACCCATATGCTATTGTAGCCCATTTCAAAGTGAGACCTTTTCTGATCTAGATTCTAGATGTTGCTGCCTATGAATTGAGAACCTTCTTCCAAACCCAATGACCAATTTACTGTTCAACAGATTTCAGAAACGAACACCGTTTCATTCAATTGACTGATCACCATATATATTGTGAGATTTTAAATTAATGGTATAGAGAAACAGGAGCAAGCCAACTGAAACAGTAACAAAAGTCATAGTCCAAATAATCAAAACCAATGGGCTCTATAGCTAGCTCTCAATTCTCATGCACACTTCTATATAAATACCATCCGATTCAACCCTATTCCATATCTCTTCATATCCATTCTCCACATATATATCTCCCTCTCTTTTACATTCCACATCTCATCTCATCTCAATAATCCATTTGCGGCAATTTGACATAGAAATAATGAAGGGTTTGTTTCTCTGTCTATCTGTTTGCCTGTTGGTGCTTCTACCAGCTGCATTGGGTCATGATCCCGAGCCTGTTCCCTCTTCCCCTAAAAAAGGAAGAGTTGCTTACTACCGCATGTCCAACGGCTTAGGAACGCCAGCCGGAGCTTGCGGCTATGCCAAAACTGGCGTAACTTACAACTACGGCAACGTCGCAGCCGCCTCGAGCAAGCTTTGGAAGAATGGAGCTGCCTGTGGCGCTTGTTATCTGGTGAAGTGCGGGATAAAAGGCATCTGCAACGGCCAAGGAGTGAAAATAGTGGTGACGGATCGCGGAGATGGAGACAACACGGACTTCATCCTCAGCTCCCACGCCTTCGAAACCATGGCTCTACCCAACAAGGCTTCCCAGTTGCTACCCAAAGGCGTCGTCGACGTCAAGTACGAGCGAATTCCGTGCAAGTATCCGGCCCACGATAGCCTAATGGTGAAGGTGACGGAGCAGAGCAGGTTTGCGGAATACTTGTCCGTTGTTCTTTTGTACCAAGGTGGCCAAAACGACGTTTTAGGCATCCAAATCTACGACGGAAGTGTGAAGCAATGGAAGGACATGAGGAATGCATACGGCGCCGTTTACGATCTGCCTAACCCACCAAAGGGAACGATTTCGTTGAGGCTGAAACTCAAGAATATTGCCTCCGGAGGAGCAGTGAAACTCGTCAAGCTGGATAACGTTATCCCACGTTTCTGGAAGGCTGGAGTTGCTTATGACTCCAAGATTAAGCTTGCTTAAGTTATATAATTTAACTTGGCACAAGTGGGTTCTCTCGTCGCACTGTTTTAATTTAATTCTGTTTCAAGCAATAAAAAGGTGAATACACTTTGAAGACAAGCATTGTAATAATAATGATGCAAGTATAATAAGCATCTTGTTTGTAATATTACTTTCTACCTATAAATAAAACCATATCTGTGAAGTGAATAAACAACTGACTGTAATGTTTTTCTTTCTCTCGTGATTTTTAATGCAAATTCTATCTCGTCTTTTTTATTTATTTTCTTTCTCTCCTTATTGAGATCGAGCACGAGTGAGCTCAAACCTAACTTCTCTAACAGAATAATCGGGTCTACCTTATTTTTTTTTCTTTTTTCCAAAGGTGTCGTCGTCCCACAAACGGGCCTACCTTGTTACTCAAGTAATAATTTCGCATTCTATGCATGAGTACAAATTTATTTACTTGTTTCAGGTATAATCATCAATACCATTCACGCAACTTCACCGAACATTCTATTATGTGGGGTAAGAATATTATAATCACTTAAAGGAAAATTCTTCATTATTATTTTTTAAAGGCCAAGGTTAGGTGCTAGGGGGATTAAGGTGCTAACTCTCTTTGTTAGCATGATATGGTGAACACTAGTTCCAACCAATTGATGGGAGAAGGGGTAACAGAGGAGCACGCTGATCATTATGAAAAATTGAAAGAGGGGGACGAAGCACATGTGGATTTTTTTTTTTTTTTCCAAAGTCAGAATATTAATCAAAAGTCACAAATCGGAAGACAGAAAGGCGCGGGAGTCGACCAATAGTCGAACTCCCGATGAGAGGGCCTTTTGTGCCACATGATGGGCAGCCCTATTAAGGTGACGGGACACAAAACAGAAGGAAACAGTGTGAAACGAAGATGTCAAGCTCCGAACGTCCTCCAATATAGCGCCACCCCGAACATGTTGCACATCCCCTCCAATCATCCGACGGATCAAGAGTTGAGAGTCCCCATGAAAACAAACAGCAAGAAAGGAATGAGTTAGACACCACTGCACAGCATCCCGTAGAGCTAAGCATTCCATGAGAAAAGGGTCCTGAATCCCATCATAAAATTTTCCAAAGGCAAACAGAACAGTACCTGTCGTTTGGAAACCGACAAATCCAATACTACCTCCTTGCCCACGCTTGGTAGCACCATCAAACCAGCACATGTGGATATTTAGTGGGAAGAGGAGTGCATAAATTATAAGAGATCACTAAACACAAGAAATCACACACACAAAAAAAAAAAACACGAAGTTTAGAAAGTATATCACAATCTCAGTACATCACAAAATTCATAAAGCTTTTAAGGTTAGATAGCATACCACAACCTCATCACATCATAAAAGTCATAAACCACGCAACAAATACCAGAAAACTTATAAATCACACAAGTTTCGTAAAGCGCACCACAAGTCTCCAAATCATATCTAAAACCTCATAAAACATACCACAAGTTTATTAATGCACACCACAAGTTTCTAAAAGCAGACAACGAGATTTTTGAGGCACATCAAAAGTTTCATGAAGCATGTTAGAAACCTCATAAAACAATATACCACAAGTTTTCTTAAGGCCTACTTTCAGAAAAAGGTCGTATGGTTTAGACTTTTTGTCACTTGTAACCTTATGTTTGTCTCGAGTCAGTTATATCCCAACGTTTAGAGTCTCAATCAGCGGCGGATCCAGAACACAGTAGTGCACTGGGCCGCATTTCATTAGAAATTAGATACCGTAAAAAGGATAATGATTTTATATTTTTTTTTACAATGTCAATCGTTCACGATGGTGTTTTAATTTAGCGAATGCATCAATAATGGAGTCTACATCCATACCATTAGTATGCTTTGTTTCAAATAAAATACTTGAGCAACCGGCG